TTTTGATAATTAAGTAAGAAGAAGAGTAAGAAACAAAATGTTGTAACACGTTCCAATGCTGAAGAAGAACACAGATCTATGGCACATGGTGTGGCTAAAGTGTTATGGTTGAGGTCCTTGTTTGAGGAACTAGGAATTGCTTATGAGAAGCCCCTGATGCTATATTGTGATAATCAGGCTGCTATTAACATTGCTCACAATCCAGTACAACATGACAGAACTAAACATATTGAGGTGGATCGACACTTTACAAGAGAGAGAGTTGCCTCTTAAGAAGTGTGTCTTCCATATATTGCATCCAATGTGCAGCTTGCTGATCTCTTCACCAAGGCAATTACAAGGACCAAATTGGAAACAGATTTACGAAAGTTGGGAATGATAAATATCTATTCCCAACATGAGGGGGAGTGTAGAGATGTAGAGCAATAATTAGTGCTGTTATATTGTTGCTATTTTATTTATTGTGGTCCCCACTGCTGCTATTAATTAGTTCCTACTTTATATTTGTTGTTAGGCTGCTTTTAGCAGTGTTAGTTTTGTTAGTTATTTGCTTATGTAAGCAATAGGGGTATTAATGTAATTGATGTCTTATATTTTGATGTCATTATAAATAGCTGAGTGGGGCGGAAACTAAAGCCAACACTCTTTCTCTCATCTTTCTCTTCTCTCTGCTCTTCTCTTCTCTTCTCTTCTCTCTTCTTTCTTTCTTCTTCTTTTCTGGTATTTTTTCTCATTGAATCTGCATCAAGAATTGGATTACAGTCGTGATTTGCCAACTGGTCCTTGATGGGCTGTCTTCTATTTGTTCTTTACTATTCTTTATTGTTTCTGTCCACTTAGGGACGGATCTATCTAGTCCCTCTAATATGGTGAATAGAATGGGGCACACAACCCCCATGATAGTTTTCTCCCCCAACTGATTTCTCTTCTCATCTTTCTCTCTTCTTTCCTATACCATTCCCCATTCATTATATTGATTAATCTCACTTCAATCAACATATTTCCAATTATTTTCACTATTTTATTGGATTAAACAAGGCAAGTTGGTATGATAGCAACCTACGTTTCTTTTTATAAGTAACTCCAAATTTTATTAAATAAGTATAAATGGATTTACAAGAGACACTGAGTGGTAGGATACCTACCACTCCACAAACAGGTTCCCACTTTACAACTTAACCCAATAGTGTGTCAGGTTCCCATTTAAAAATTAGCCCAATAAAGTTCTCCCCTACTAACCCAATAGAGCAAGCAATGTTTTTCCTGGGGTGAAACCCATGCAATACTAGGATCAGCAGGTTGCATGAGGAATTAAGAAGACTGACCAATACATTCATGAGCACCTTGGAGACTTTTTGAGTTTCATTTGGTGCCTGAGAAGTATCTCAGAGATTTATCCCAAAATAATAGAACAAAAATCATAGAACCAGAAAACTATTCTATTGAAGACCCAAAGAAGTTGGATTATTCCCTCTGACATTCCAATAGAGGGAAGTTGCTGTTTGGAAGAGTTCAGAGGCTCCTAGAGTAAGTAGCTCAACTTTCTCCCCCTCTATTTTTGGCACCACGATGGATTTTACCTTTGTAAATTTGTTGGAACACTGATTGCAAACCAAGATTGAGTATACGTTGACTTTTTAACAACCAAATAATATTATTTGAAGTTACATTGGTTCAATGGACCCTATTGGAAGTGACTGGAAGTAAGGTGTTGAGATTAGAGTCAATGTTTTGAAAATCGTAATTGTATTGTAAATCGTACAGAAAATTGAATTGAATCGAATCGTGAATCATATTGTAAATATAAGATTATTTCTATTTTTCGCAAACTTGTCAAAAAATTAGATATAGATATATATAAAGGCTAAATATATATAGGATAGTGACTTTACCCTATTTTTAATCCATATCTACCATATATGTACCTAAAACAATAGAATTTACCACTTGTACAATAGAATCCTAAGATGATATAATCAAATTTTATTTGAAAGTCAAACAAATCAGTCCTTCAGACTTTGCCGAGAATTTGTGGGAAATTCTTGAGATTCAAGCTTGTAATGTGAATCACTTCAGTCTTGACTGATGTACTGATATTATTGTTGTAGTGGGGTGTCATCCTGACACCTGAACAGATTGTACCTGTTTTATTTTTAATAAAATTTTTCTTCATTACACTTTAAAAAAAATCCACTGACTATTCATCAAAAAAAAAAAAAATCCACTGACCATGGCCCTTTAGCCTACATATGATGGAAAATAAACTCAATATCTAGTCTTACATAATGTAAATAAATCATTTTCTAATTAAGGGTTTAAAAAAAAGTCTCCCTTGGCAAAACTAAATACAAACAAAAAAAAAGACAAAGTAGAGAACTAATTCTTAAATCTTAACTGAATTTATTTGAAACGTAGTGAATTGTAGAAATCATATAAAGTGTAAGATTTATGAATCAAATCAAGGATTGCCTTTGCTTTCGGCAAGCTCATTTCCGGGGTGGCTGCGGCTAAGGGCATTCAAACTTCTTTCCTCCGTTCTCAGTTGAGATCTAGGATTTTTCTTGAGTTATGATGTATTGTGGATGTTAAGTGTATTTTGCTCCTTGTCTCAGGGACCTTGGTTGTAACCTGCCATTTCAGGCTTCTTTGAATAAAATTTTACCTTACCTTTATCAAAAAAAGAAAAAACAAAAATCATAAGTTTTTTTGTAGAAAAGGATTCAAACATAAGATTCGAATTGAAACCCTTGGGATTAATGATTCAAATCATGAATCATATCATAAATTGTAAGATTTTGACAATATTAATTAGAGTTACATTGGGTAGTGCTGGTGATACCCAATGATGAGGTATGCATGGGTCTGATGAGGTATGCATGGATTTTCCTCCCAAATTCTATTTGATGAAAAGAGTGGCAAAGTTTATAGGCTCAGAAAGTCCTTATATGGACTTAAGCAATCACCTAGAGTTTGGTTTTACAAATCCTGAGGTGTTTTAGTACAAGTTGATTTCACAGAGACCTAGTCAAATCATACCTTGTTTATCAAGAGGAAGGGTTGTTCTCTCACTACATTGGTCATATAATACAGTTGTAACAAGGAACAATATGAGTATATGACTAGGATTCAGCAATTAAAGTGGTTTATTAGAAATGAATTCAAAATAAAGACCAAGGAGGACTCAAGAATTTCCTAAGTATCAAGAGATTATCTACACAAGGTATATTCTTCTCCTAGAGAAAGTATGTGTTGGATTTCTTAAAGGATCCAGGTAAGCTAGGTGTTAAACTTGTTGACATACCTATTGATCATAATCACAAATCAGGTTACCTATTGACAGACCTATTGTTATACTTGTGTATAACCCAGCCAGACATCTCTCTTGCAGTATCATAAACCGGTACATGCACTTACCTAGACAGATACCACATCTAGCTGCAGCAAAGTGAGTGCTTGAATATTTGAAGGGAAAACCAGGCAAGGGTATTTTGTTCTCAGATGATGGGCACATAAAAATAGAAAGGTTTGGTGATGCAAACTGGAAAAAGATTTATAGAATACAGAAGATCTACATCTGGCTACAACACTCTAGTTGCATAATCTTGGCTTGTGGAGAAGCAAGAAGCAGTCCATTCACCATTGTTGCTAACTCATGTGCTTAAACAGAGTATCGAGCCATGGCATATGGAATTTGAATGATGTTATGTGTTCAGTCTTTGCTAGAATGGTTGGGGATTGACCATGATAAGCCAATGAAGCTTTATTATGATAATCAATTAGCTATTAATATAACCCATAACCTTGTTTAAAACAACAGTACCGAACATACTGAGATTGACAAGCACTTTATTGGACAGCTAGATAACAATATTTACTAAGGGTGTCAACAAAGTTGAATGGGCCCATCCTGCTCATTGTCTTTCATAGTCTTTCATCTTGTTTCATGCTATTTCATATCTAACCCCTCTTGATTCATTTTTTATAGACCATAGTTTGCACATTTTTTGAAAAGTGGTGAAAGCCCCTTTTTGTACTTATAACAGTCCCTTTTTAATAAGCTTTAATCCAAAATCATCTTTTGTCTCCTTTATCATTCTAATCGTCTCTTTAGCCTTACCTTTCACTGATCTATTTATAGGTGCTTGCTGTTACATTGTTGGTCCTAAATTATCAAATTTCTATCCAGCCTTATTGGTTGTTACATTTATCCTAAGGATCAAATTGAACAATGGACCTTGTATTCTGTGTTCTGCATCACACCATTTGAACCGGAAAACATAATCATGGCAAATGATGAATTTAGGATTTGGGCAGTGAAACAAAATTGAAGGTGATTATCCCTACTCCTTGAATTTCTCAGTTGCTAGGGATCATGGCTTGACAAGAAACAATACCCAAACCATAATGGATTCAAATTGAACCGTTGAAGTGAATCATAGTACAAAACAACGACAAGCAGTTAGTATAGGTGAAGTACCGATCTTACTTCCTAGATGCAACCATACTACTAAAGAGCCTTATAAGTATATGCTTCCCAGATGCATATACTTTAAACGCATTTTATTTCTTACTATAATTGTTTAAGAGAACTTTAAAATATCAAGCATGTCATAGTTCCAATTCAGCATTCTAAGAAATGACCCTGTTTAGATTTCCTGAATGTCAGATACTGATACAATTAACTCGCATTATAAATGAATGAATTTTCCATCTTAGATGACTAATATCTTTGCAAATTGTTAAATATAATCATATATCTCTTTAGCATTAACTACACATTACCATGTGACCCAAATTACAACAAAGAATGGTGGTATACATGGAAATTCAAGCTAGACAAGGATCAAAATGAAAACATGTCAGGAAAAACAATGGGCTGCACACATCTAAAAGTTCCTTAGGACCATAACAATGCAAGTAAGAAAAAGATTGCAGATTAACAAAACATGCTATGAACAGAACTTGTGGACTAGAGCATGGGAAGGGCATGAACGCTATACCTGTATCGCCCGGATTTGAAATGACCTAGATGCATATGGAAGTGAACGGAGAAGAACCAGCAAAAGCTGAAGATGTTCAAAGCGATGGCCAGAATCATAAAGATTTAACCCATCATCAGTTGAAGAAGCATTTATCTGAAATAAAACATATATGAGGCTTAAGTTCCAAATTCAAGCAGCAAGGCTCTACAGATAAGAACAATAAGTGATGAATTGCATGACAATTGTTAAGGACAAGGTAATACACTTTTTCATAGTGTTGTTAGATCATGAAATCTATGTTCATAGATAGGAACACAAGCTGATCAGTAGTCAGTACCAACACCCACACATATGGGATATGGAACATACTATCTGTGGGTTTAGGCATATTTGTGCAGAATTACCTTACTGAATCCACATATCCATGATGAAATGTTAATGAAAAGAACTAATGTGAGTTAAGCATATACGATAAAGGGGCGGAAAATGGCAAGAATCTATCTTTTTGAAAGTCAAATTTCATATGGGATAACTTGATATATTAATGTTTTGTTGTCACTATATACTAAATCTTCAAAAGAGAAGGGAGAAAGAACTCATTTTTGGTTCATTAATGGCTAGCTCAAACTAACAAGGGTGGGTTTACCACCAAGGCCCCTACATTTTTTTGGCAAGTCATTTACCTGGGTAAGTGTATTTACCCATGTGCTTTTGATCAAAAGTGTTTCCCAGGTATGTTAAACACTTGACCATGTTTACCGTTAAATTTTCATTATTAGAAGGGCAGTTTTGTCCCATAGTGTTTTGGCAATTTTCCCCCAAAGTGGGAAAGTTACTTACCCACCTCAGTGATACCCATGGGAAAAGAAATTTACCAATGGGACAGTTACCAAAAAGAAAACATTGGATTGTTGGTCAACGGGAATCAATGGGGCCCAAAAGTGCATAGCTATAGGCAATAATCATCCCCTAGGAAGCATGAATTCTGACAGCTAAAATACCCTAAAAAGTTTTGTAATTTCTGTTCACAGTTTATGTTAGTTGCCTTGATTTATTAATATTTCTACTTATTTATGGTGGTTCCTGTTATGGATGCCTTAGCGGGGTCATTATGGTCTTTGTACACAGTATTTTTTAAATATAAATACAAGTGAGCAGGGCAACCAGAACACTTTTTGGCACCCCTTTCTTCTCCCATCTTCTTCTTTCCTCTTTCTCTTCTTCTCCAAGAACTTTCTACCCCTTTTTCTTTTCTTTCTCTTATTTTTCTTTTGTTTCTGATTGCCACTTGGTATCAAAGAAAGTGCCCTACAAGGTCTCAGCTAGGTTTTTTTTTTCATTCTTGGAGTATGGCAGTTCCTGGTGATGCTTTTTTATTGAGGGTGATTCACCCTGGAGTATATTCTGTTGCATCTAGTGAGATCAACATTCTGTTCTACAATTTCTATCAGACCCAGAAGAGCCCAGGAATTGTCGACTTCCTCCATTCTTGCCCCAGTGTCACGGGGGTAGTTCTACAGCGGAAGAAACCCGTGCGGCGTCCTGGCCAAGG